TTGTATAGTACGTAGAAAAACTAACTTCAACACATTCTGAGTTTTTTCATTCGAGTGATTGAAATTAAAAAAAAGAAATTTGGATGGATTAGCCTTGGAAGAGAAAATGTAACTGATACCAAAGCGAGACTTAACTGTACCGGCATTCAAAAGTGGTGACTTAAAGAAAGGTCAACCTTGACTTTCCCCCTCCCCGTTGTGTAAGAAATCAGCCGTGTCAAGAATAATTTGAGAGGGTTATCTCGCGACAAGCCGATGTCCATTTGTACACATTGTTGATTCCCAAATTCGTGTTTAAATCCTCGTAAAAGTTGTTTTTATATCCCAGCTGCATGTTCTTTTATTTTGTTGTGCCTTATATTCTACAAGATGTGCATATACTTCATAAACTTTTGACACTGTTGCCATTCAGCTGAAATGAAAAGCAGTCCAAAGGACAACTCCCACCATCACTGACAACATTGATCTAAATTTTGGGTCAGTAACATTTGCATGCTGTCTGGAAAGATCGAATAAACGGCGAGGTTCAAAAACGGAAGTAACTTCTAATCAAAGAATTTTAATTAGTTTTCTTTGCCCAACTAGAGCAGACACTCCGTACCGCGCTAAGATTTTATGCGATCAGCTTCCTGTCCTTCAAAGCTTACAGCTCGTCGGCTTGGTTCCATGTTTATCATATTACTGATGTTGAACTATCTATGACACCGATTTCCCGCGTGTTTCTCAAATTGTTCGCCATAAAAGTCTTTTTAATTCTAATCTTTGTTTTGTTTTGCTTTTTTTGTCTTTTTGCGATTCCCTTCTTTGTTATTTTTATCGAGAACCACAGAATGTAACTAAAGAACGATTACTAAAGCAATTTAGAGCACTTAGATTTGAGAATTCCGATCAAGTATTTATGACTATACAGCTGCACGTGACATGGGACAATTAAGTTTTAGTGAGCGCTTAGAGATAGAAGGCTAGCTAACCCTGATCAACCTTGTCTCGACTCACAAAAGATTCCAAGTTCCTGTCGGAAGAGATGGTCTGTTCTTTACCCAAACCTAATGAAACCAATTTTCGAATTCTACAATACTATTCGTGGAACCAAATAGTATATTTATTTTTATCATCTTTTAGTTGTTTTCATCAAGAACACCTAAACTAGCGAGTGCAAGAGCACCAGTAGTGAAATCTAAATAAGAACTCCATTAAGTATTAATGACGGCTTGAAAAAGCACTTTACTTTAACGAGTCTTTCTTGGTGCTCAGCGTACCAGATAAAATTCATTATGTAACGGAATCTCTTTGGGAAAAACAAAACCTTAGAAGGAAGAAAAGCCGGCAGGTATACACATATACAAAAAACGCCCACCTCTTAGCTCAATTGCAAGGGCTGGATCTGCCACTGTTCCCCTACTTCCATTTACACAATTTGCTTTTTTGGTTTTTCCTCTTCTTCTTCTTTTTCTTCTTCTTCTACTTCTTCTTCTTCTTCTTCTTCTTCTTCTTCTTCTTCTCCTTCTTCTTCGCCTTTTTTTTTCGTTTTGTTGTTGTTGTAACTGCTGAACATGATTTCGAGCCAACTGTAAGTAGGTCTTTAAACTCTCTATCTCTCCATCTTATATAGATGATAAGCAACCCAACAAAAAGTTATGACACTCAGTCTTGACGACGAAGTAAACTTGAGGCTTCATTTGTCGGGTTGGGAATTTTTTTTTTCATACAAAGAATCGCTTTAGAAGGAAGAAAAGTATTGAGANAAATATCAAAAAGCAGTTAGAATGATAAACTCATTTATACCACATGATACAATATACAGCCAAAAATGAAACAGCAAGGCCGCTCCATAATTCAATATATTACACCCAGCCTTGCCATTGGGCGCTGTGTGCGTGATTTATACATTTCTACCCTGTAACGTTTAACCATATCGACTTTGTTGCACAAATATATTTTGTGGTTTATGACATGAATATCGCATGATAAAGATTTTAAAGTAAAAATTACCCGCATGTAAAAGTTTGTCGATGACCTCATGTTAACAAATGAGTAAGAACAAAAATTTGATCAACCGTGTTATATACAGTGTGTGTGAGGTGTCTTCCAGTAGCCCAGGTTGTCACCAATAAGAGGACTTAGCGAAAAAAAAAACAAACAGCAACAACAACGACAACAACAAAAGATCAAAGAACAAAGAAGGACCATTGAAGTAAAACACGTTCGTAACGTAAAGAGTTTGTTTGCCACTTCTCTAGGTCTAGTTTGTAAGGTGTTTTTAAGAAATCATTGATACTTGGGCAAACTCTTAAGTCAACAACCTGTTGGTTCTCAGTTTTGCTTGACAAAATACTTCCCAAAATGGGACAGGTTTTAGTAAGCATATTCCCCATTTCAAAAACGAGTGGGGGAGTGGGTCGAGTTCGTCGCGCAAGTTTGTCAGGGATCGTTACTCGGGACACGAATCTTTGTTTACTCTAGATTTGTGTCCCGAGTAACGATCCCAGACAAACTTGCGCGGCGAACTCGACCCACTCCCCCACTTGTTTTTGAAATGGGGAATATGCTTACTAAAACCTGTCCCCTTTTGGGAAGTATTTTGTCAAGCGAAACTGAGAACCAACAGGTTGTTGACTTAAAAGTTTTCCAAAGTATCAATGATTTCTTAAAAACACCTTACAAACTAGACCTAGAGAAGTGGCAAACAAACTCTTTACGTTACGAACGTGTTTTACTTCAATGGTCCTTCTTTGTTCTTTGATCTTTTGTTGTTGTCGTTGTTGTTGCTGTTTGTTTTTTTTTTCGCTAAGTCCTCTTATTGGTGACAACCTGGGCTACTGGAAGACACCTCACACACACTGTATATAACACGGTTGATCAAATTTTTGTTCTTACTCATTTGTTAACATGAGGTCATCGACAAACTTTTACATGCGGGTAATTTTTACTTTAAAATCTTTATCATGCGATATTCATGTCATAAACCACAAAATATATTTGTGCAACAAAGTCGATATGGTTAAACGTTACAGGGTAGAAATGTATAAATCACGCACACAGCGCCCAATGGCAAGGCTGGGTGTAATATATTGAATTATGGAGCGGCCTTGCTGTTTCATTTTTGGCTGTATATTGTATCATGTGGTATAAATAAGTTTTTATCATTCTAACTGCTTTTTGATATTTGCAGATTCTCCAGAATGATCTCAATTTTGAGTATTTTGGTTTTCATAATGGTTCAAGGACCTGTGGTAATAATAATAATAATTTACATTTATATAGCGCAGACCTCTATATGAATATATTGAGTCGCGCTTCACAATATCGTAAGATAAAATTATGGCAAAAGCAACTAAGATATAAGAACCTATTGGAACCTACGAGTCTATGCACTCAAAGAGTCTATGCACTGGTAAGAGATATGTAAACAAGGTTTACCTAACCCACTACCTCCCATTCATACATATAATATTCAGAAAGATATATATTTCAAACCGTTAGAAAAATAGGTAGATACGTATGATACAAAAAACATATTGTTAGGAGACTCCTACAAATGGGTGCCAGTCACAAAAAAACAATCCTAAACGCAACCTGAGAAGTGAAAAATATAAAGCTAAGATGAGTTAGTTGAAAAATAACCAAAGTTTGGACAAAAACCATCCACAGATTTCATAAGAATATACCGTAGAACATTTGCAAATAAGTCATCGGTGGAAA